AGAAAAGTTGAAATGTAAAGTATAATGAGAAGAAAGCATAAAAGTATTATAAATATTAACTAAGTTTAAAGGTAATTAGAAATTCAAAGGTTAATACAATTTAAATTTATAAAGTAATGTGATTAGAATGTATTGGTTTATAATTGATAATAACCTGCATGAAAACTCCACGTTGTTCATGAGGGTAAACCACTATAGGTTTTACGCCATGAAACAACTTTTAAGTAGCGGACAGCCCTGAGGTCACCTGGCCGTCACAGAGGAACCTTGATGGGAGAGCCAGTAGAGAGAGTGGAAGGCAGCACCAGAGGCGGAGAGAGGAGAAGAAAAGACCGGTGCTGACAGTTTTCGACAGGGGAGTAGCTTGGAAGCAGTTTGGAAAGAGTTAGAGAGCTGTGGGGTTGGGAATTGGACCAGGAGGGTCAGAGTTAAAAGAGTGATTTGAATGAATCAAATCTTGTTTAATATATGTGATTCGCTTCCTGTGATTTACGCTGCAATTTCCAACTGATTATTAACCCCACCCTATTCAATAAACTGATTGTGTTTGGCAGGATAAGTGTCCAACACTTAATTGATGTTAAAGAGATAGCATCTGGTGGCAGCGTGAGGAGAAGGAAAGAGCGTAAGGCTTGTGAGGACAAATAGGGGCCACAAGGGCGAGCACAACACTGAGTATGATACCAGGCAACATAGATGAGATAAAGAGTTACCCAATGATCTAAATAGGTACTACAGTCAGAAAGCTTTATGCTGAAAATTGGAAGAAAGCAGAGATACCTAAACAAGAGGAACTTATTGAGAAGATATGGAGAGCGGCAGAAATGGATATTCTTTCAGACGTGTTGAAAGACTGTTCAATTCAAACGGAAACTGAACAATGGAATTTATTATACAAATGGCTTCAGTCCCCAGATAGTGTTGGAGTAACATAGATTTAAACCAAGATGTAACTGTAAGTTGAAAGCTGGAGGGTAATCAAATTGTAAAAAAGTGGAAAGTCAATTTGTTATTGTAACATGAATAGATTGGATGATTGTATACTTTGTGTTCTCCTACCCCCTAACCGTTTTTCTTTCCCCCTACTTCCTTTTACCCTTTGTATTTCCTACCTTATTCTTAGTTGATAAAAATAAATATTTTTTTAAAAAAAGAAACCACAGTATCCTTTGATGTCACATCCCTCTTCACCAGCATTCCCACCCCCAATGCCCTAACAACTGTAAAAAGGAGACTGGAAGAAGAGAGTACCCTATCCACCAGAAGCAGCTTCAACCCAGACCAGATATGCCTGCTCCTGGAACTTCACCTACAGAGGTGATTTGCAGACAGAAACATGGCTGTGTCATGGGTTCCCTAGTGTCATCCATTGTTGCCAACTTATACATGGAAGAAGTGGAAAAGAAGGCACTAAGCACCTTCCAGGGGATGACTCCAACCCATTGATTCAGGTATGTGAATGACACCTGGGAGAAGATCAAGATTCAGGAAGTACAGGTCTTCACAAACCACATAAACACAGTGGACCCAAATATCAAGTTCACCAGGGAAGACACCAAAGACAACCATATTGCTCCTGTTGTGATTTGTTTTTCAATGATTAGATGGAAGCAGAATTAAAACTAATTAAAACTAATTCTAGATCAGCTCATATTTTTCATAAGCAAGATTGTAGATTACTGAAATGCTTTCCTGGACTATGCAGTCATCATAGGATCCAACGGCAACTTAGAAAACTGCAGAAAACCTACACACATTGATCAATACCTGCAATTTGACTCTCATCACCCATTGCGACACAAACTAGGGGTCATCAGGACACTAAACCACAGAGCAAGAAACATCCCCACCTGCACAGAAACCAGGAAGAAGGACATCTGAAGACACCCCTTAAGGCCTGTGGCTATCCAGAAAGGGCCTTTAACAAGGCAATTTCCCGACCCAGCAGGACAATGGAACAGCCTGAGACCCAGAGCCAACAGAAGAACCTGGTCACTCCTTACATGGCAGCTGTGTCTGAAACGTTCAAAAGGATTTTTGGTAAACACCACATATCTGTGCAAACCCACAAACACACTAAGGCAGAGACTCCTCCTCCTAAAAGACTGGACACTAAATCACAACAGGAACAATATAATATATGTGGTCCAATGTAAAGAGGAGTGTTCAGAGCTTTGCAGAAACCAAACAGCCACTAAACAGGAGAATGGCCCAGCATAGGGAGGGGAATGGCTCAGGACCACAATCAGCAGCAGTCCTTCATCTGAAGGACAATGAACATTCATTTGATGACCAAGATGTACTCATTTTGGACTGAGAAGATAGGTGGAGTCAGAGAAGCCATACATGTGCATATAGAAAATCCACAAGCACCAGCAGAACTTCAACAAAAAAGAGGAAAGTTTGAAACTCAACAAAACTAGGCTCCCAGTTCTGAAAAATACAGCCACAAGGACCAGGGATCACTACACACAAAAGACCCGCTAATGACACCCATAAATCACAGTGATAGACATTCTCTCCTCTTTATCACAACAATACACCCACATCAAGACACACTAAGCACCCATCTCCTGAAAAGGACAAAGCCTATCTCACAGCCATAAATACTCAACTTCCAAGCAAACTATACTAGAGCACAGAGTGTTGTCCTCTGAAGATGCCGGCCACAGAGACGGGCGAAACATTAGGAAGAACAACCTTCAGAACACAGCCAAAGAGCCCGAAAAACCCACAACAACCATTAGATCCCAGCCATGAAAGCCTTTCCGAATACACTGTTAAGGACTGTTAACAACTCATGACAATGAGTGGAGAAGGACTGCAGAAGTGGGATTTTCACTCACCCCTTTGTCCATCTAATGAGCCTATTCAGACTGGTGGGGGTGGGGGGAGGGAGTGAAACCAACGTGGAGGATATACTCAGGGTCTCCTACCAACTCTCCTCAGACTGAAGAAGCTACTTGGATGAATAGCAAAATGTTTCAACCTTATAAGAAAGACGTCCAGTTGCCATGACTCAACTTCCAGATAACCTCACCTAGATGACTGAGTATCTTCACAGATCATACTGGAAACTTGTACAACTGTGCTGTCACTTGCTGCCCCCCTCTTTGTGTTTGTTTGTATGTTTGTGAGTGTGTATGTTTCAGATTTATGGAGAGGGAGCAAAATTAAAGCAAAGCTTTAAACAAACCTTACTGTGATCACCAATATTCTTATGAAGCATATTCTTGCACTTGCTCTGTAGTTTCTCCTTAGCTTTTGATAGAATGGCATAGAATAAGGCTGAACCAGAGCCAAATGGTCACCAAAGAAAACTTTTACTTCAACATTTACAGTGGGAAAGGACTGCCCTGAAACTGGAGTTTGATTGAAGAAGGGCAGCAAAATATGTCAACAGTTCCAGGGCCTTCACTACCTTCTCAGATGGCAACAATAAAAATTCCTCTTCCCCATTCAGCCCTGCACGCATGCACGCACGCATGCGCGCGCACACACACACACACATTAAGCTGCTAATGGTAGTGACCCTAGTGGTGTTGTGGCTCTGTTTTTCCTTCCTACCCTTTCAGAATGTTCCAGTGGCATGAAAAGGGTCTCTCCTTTCATGATGTCATGTTGTAAGTGACTATCTAGGGGAAAAAGTATAACCTAGCAGCCTCTGCAAGAAAATCCAATGACACAAATAACAACAGCAATTAATTAAGGTGGGGAGAGAAGTTGCTATTGCCAGCAAAGTTAGAGAAGGGCCTGAAAATTAGACATATAGTCCTCCAATATTTATACTTACAGCCCTAGGATGGAGAGCCAAATGATATCATATTCTATCATAATCTACAGTAAGTTTTTTCACAAATGTTACCAAACTCTGAGAATTGATGATAAAGTACACAGTCTTAGTGGTTTTATGCTTCAGTCCTGAGGATACTTAGTAGCATTTCAGTAATCTTGCCTATGAAAAATATGAGCTGATCTAAAATTAGTTTTAATTCTGCTTCCATCTAACCATTGAAAAACAATGCCTCAGCAGAGCTAAAGGGTCCCAGTAGGCAAATGACCATAGTATTCAAAATATTCATAGCATTCCAGAAATCTTCTACTGCTTTAAAATATTAGTTGTCATGCAGTTGCATGGTCATTTTTGTTTGTCTTTTTAACTTTTTAATTATGCCTAATGCTGTGTTAGCCACTCTGAGGGCCTATTTTGGCATGAAATGTACAAGGTATTGCTGGCCAGAATCCAGTTGAAGAATTATCCTGGTGTAAATTTCAGTAGTAGTTTGCCATTAGTTAAGAAGTTGGTCCTGCCATTTATTGTCATGTGCCAAGTCATGTTATTAGTGTGCAACACGAATCAGCTACACTGACTTCTTAATAATAGCAGTAGTTGTGTGCCATAAAGTCAGTTTCTACTGACCCTTTTCAGGGCTTTCCATGTAGAAAATACTCAGAACCTGTTTACCATTCCCTTCTGGGGCTGCCGAAGGCCACACAGTCTGGTTGTACTTGCAGGAGACAAAGTGGGCAATTGAACTCCCAAAGTGTCTCTGTAGCCAGATACCCAAGCTACTGAGATATCCAGCCCCCTACACTGACTTCCTAAATCCCAGTAATTCGCCTCTGAGATCTATACTAATGGACTTATGCTGGCAAGCCGAAGTAATAGGACTCTGGTCAATGAGAATTTATTTTGATAATTGTTGTGGGTTTTTCGGGCTCTTTGGCCATGTTCTGAAGGTTGTTCTTCCTGACGTTTCGCCAGTCTCTGCGGCCGGCATCTTCAGAAACTCTGTCCTCTGAAACTGATTTTCTTTATAGCTGGAAATCTACATACCTCTTACATGTTTTACGTATTTTACTTATTTCTGGATATCTGTTACATATTTTAATGGCAAAAATTACGGGCATGCCAAAGGTGAAGTGAGCTAAAACACGAAACTGTTGTTGTTTTAAAGGGGAAACATTTAATAAACATTTTATTTTTGACTTCTTTACAGGTGGAATTCCATTTATCCTAACAGGAGAGTTCTTTCCACAGTCTCAAAAGCCAGCTGCGTTTATGATTGCTGGGATAATCAACTGGCTCTCCAACTTTGTAGTTGGGCTTGTTTTCCCTTTCATTCAGGTACAATCTCTGAATTATATTACTGAATGTTACAAGCCAAAAATTGTAAACTTGCCCTGACATAGCAAGGACTTCCCATTTAAGGATAATTATTTGTTAAGATATATTGAATAGAGACTAATTCCATCTAAAAGAGGTGAAAGTGGTTCTATGAACTTGAGGTCCTATCTTTAATATCATACTGTATATGTGGAGGGTAATAATTTATCATTGATTTATTTATAGGGAAGTGTGCACAAACTTTTTTGGGCTGATGTACTGTGTTCTGTACAGTTATTAAGAGTGTTTGGAAATTTCAGTTAGTTCAAAAATGAGTTGCCCATCTCTTGCCTGTCATTGGTAACTTAAACCATCACCAGAGAATTTTATCTGCATCACTTTCCCCATGACTTTCATTTCATCTCCCATGAGTTTTATTCCTCACTTTGCAAGTTTTTCCTTAAATAGTACTGCAGTTTAAGGTAACTTGATTTTTCATAATTCTTCCATTATGAAAGCCTGAAAATTCAAATTGTCATAACTGGTCAGTGGAAAGATGCAAAATATATTATTCTCAGAGCAAGCAGTCTTAAATAACTGACACAGGCTGGATGCCATTTATTGGATTTATTTGAAGTAAGTGGGGGTGGAATGAAGCTTTGGCACCTCCGAACACATATGCTGCTTGAAATTATATGATTTATTTATTTATTTAATATTAATTCCACCTTTCTCCTTAAAAAGAATCCAAGGTGGCTTGCATCATTAAAAGACAGTATTTAAAGCTAACAGCAGTGAGTATACAAATACTAAAGAGGATCAAAATAATACAGTGGTGCCCCGCATAGCGACGTTAATCCATTCCGGATAAATCGTCGCTATCCGGAAACATAGCTATACGTGGCAAAAAAACCCATAAGAACGCTTTAAAACCTGTTTAATGCATTCCTATGGGGCGAAAACTCACTGCTAAGCGGAAATCACTATGCAGATTCGTCGTTAAATGGTGCGCTCGTTATGCGAGGCACCACTATACTATACTGAAAAACATAAGCAACATACAACAATCCATTTAAAAAGCCTACTAAGGTAAGCTATACGTGGCAAAAAAACCCATAAGAACGCTTTAAAACCTGTTTAATGCATTCCTATGGGGCGAAAACTCACTGCTAAGCGGAAATCACTATGCAGATTCGTCGTTAAATGGTGCGCTCGTTATGCGAGGCACCACTATACTATACTGAAAAACATAAGCAACATACAACAATCCATTTAAAAAGCCTACTAAGGTAGCCAGTCACTAAGAGAAAACATGCCTGAAGAGAAAGTTCTTCACCTGTTTGCAGAAGGACAGCAGAGATGGGGCCAGCCTGGCCTCCTGTGGGAGGGAGTTCCAAAATCTGGGAGCAGCAACAGAGAAGGTCCTTTCCAGTGTCCCCACCAAATTCACATGTGAAGGTGGTGGGATCAAGAGAAAGGCTTTTCTTGATGATCCTAACATCCAGACATGCTTATAAAGGGAGATGCAGTCCTTGAGATAGTTTGGGCTTAAGCAGTTTAGGGCTTTGTAGGTTAGAACTAATACTTTGACTTTTGCCCAGGTGCAGATCAGCAGCCTCTAAAAGTTCCACTGATTCAAATATGCCTATTCTGACTGCAACTTACTATGCTAAAGTACTTCATTGTCAGAGTAGGGCCATTTGAATCAATGAAACTTACAGAAGAGTTTCCTCACTGATTCAGTGGACCTACTCTAGTGCAATTTGCTATGCTAGCAACAAGATTTTGGCCATAAAGCAAGTAGTCTCAGAGATCAAAAACTGATTTAATTGTGACAATACATTCCAGGGTCTCTCCCAGGTCTCATGAACTAGCAAATGTTCACATTCTTGGCATACTGCTTAAAAGTATATATGTTCAGTGCAAAAAAGATGGCTAGCATTTTGAAAACTGTTCACTGCTCATGTGGGCATTTAAAAAATAGCTACACTTATATGAAAATCCATGGATTGGATCTTTACATGGATTTGCAGGAAAATCGGAGCCTTTGAAAATGTATTTTGTGATAGTTTTAAGCTGCCTGCATAGTTTACATGCCAAAATATAATTTTGTCAGTCATGTAAGGAAATTAGTAGTTGATAGCTTTAGTGACATTTGATAACAAAAACATGACAAGCTGAGTCACTGACTTGGTTAGAGAAAAAGCTAGGAGCTGCTGAATCTGTGGGCACACTCAGAATTCCTGTGAGATTGTGAGCAAGTGCAAGCAAACAGGCACATGTTTTAAGAAGGAGATGAGGAGTGCTGTGCCACTACCTGCATAACTCAAAACTCCTGAATGAGGAGGAAGCTGCTGTAGTAAGTTCTACAGTATATTGTCTTCCTGCTAGAGGAGGTAGTTGCCCTGTTAAAAGAGCAAATGTGGCAGCTTGATACCTGCCTATCTTCAGCTCATCAAGGGAAACAAAGCATTTTCGGATAGAGGTGAGCATACATTTCTGAAAGAGAGAGGATGCCACTAGGGGGAATGTGAGAGAAGTGGACTGTCAGAAAATGCTCTTGTTTTTGAGGTTACACAATCAATATCATGCCTCCCTATGGCCAGTGATTCTGAGGCACTGTAACAGGGAGAGCGTTTGTGTGTCCTCCTCCAAATGGTAGTTCTGAGCTGCTGCAAAAAGGATAGCAGAAAAAATAGATGTAGTCATGGGGGAGATTGTGGATGGAAGGTTCTTCTTCATGGCCTCTGTGACTCACACTGTGGGTAATCCACATATGTGCAGAGCCTTGTTGGAATATTCTAGAGCTTCTGCGGTAGCAAAAAGATACATTAGTGCAGACCCCCTCCCCCTTGGTATATGTACCTTGGTGCCAAGGCTCTCCCTTCAGTTTCTTTCAACTGCCGCATTGAGAGCCTATACCTTCGCTTCTGTGAGTTCTTTCTAAAACAGAAAAGAAAGTTATTGATTTCCTTTAAACCCTTTAATTTATAATGAATCTTAACTATTACTGTGTTTATTAATCTTTTACAAATAACCGCTCCGGCCTTAGGGCTGAAGGACACATACACACCAATTTTCGTTTCCGAAATGACTTTTCGGTTCATGGCCACTTTAGGCCTGTTTAAATGCTGTGTGGACTGTAATAACAGAATTCCACTCTGTGACAGCCATGCTAAATGCCTTTTTTTGCCTTGGTGAGGCTCACCAAACCTCTTCGTGCCCTCACTGCAAAAACTTTAAGTGAAGCGTTTTCTGCAGTCATCTCTCAAGACTTAAGATTCGGCTTTGGAAACAGTCCCTCCAGCCCACTAAACCTATGGCTCAATCTTCATGCAAATCCAGCCCGCACACTAAAGCCATGGACAAAGCTGTTTCTGAAGTGACAAAACAATGTCCTTCAGCCACTCCATCCCCTTCTGATCACCGAGAGTCCGCTGGACCCCCAACATCAACTGCCACACAGGTGCACAAGCCCAAACAGTCAACGTTGAAACCTTCGACATCAAAAGCAGCCACTAAACAAAAGCCATCCACCAATGCTTCATCAGCTCCTGAACCTTCGCCACCAAAAAAGGTCAAAGCCTTCCAAAGTTGTTCGTCTTTGTGGCCTCTGTGAATGCACACAATTGGGTTGTTCTGAACCTGAGCAGGATGTCTTAGATGTTTCTAGAGCTTAAAGACATGTGATTAGTAGGACGTTCCCCCGTGGGGCGCATGCTCCACCCTCCAAAGGTCTCCTCAGTTCTTTTTTGCTGCCACTTCAGTTGGACCGTTTCGGAACACTAGAGTGATTACTGAGATCATTCACTGACTATCTTCAATCATTTCTTTCATTTTCTATTTTCAATCATATCTTTTGTTGGATGTTCCCCTGTAAGTTATCTGTTTCCTTTTTGAATTGACCTCAGTCATTTTCTCTTCTACCCGCATTTTTCTCTCCCCCCATTGTCACCTTTCCCTCTGTTTTCCCCCTACCATTTATGCCCCCCCGGGCCTTTCAAGTGGTGTGTGCTTTGCTTGAATAAGATCCCACTTACCGACGGTCATTGTTGCCTTTTTTGCTTAGGGGAACAACACCAAACACACTCCTGCCCCGAATGCAAAAAGTTTACAAGGCCCGCTCTAAAAATACACCTACAAAGGCTTTGCTCATGCCTTTGGGAAAAGTCTCTCAACCCCATGGATATGGCAGCCTCTCCAATTCCATGTCCAGAGCGTCAAGAAACTCCTCACCTGATATAATGCCTGACAACTCCATCACCTCAACAAAAAGACCTTTCGAAGTCCACTTCGAAATCAAGCTCAGTGTCCACATCAAAAGCTCCAACTCATCCTGATGGCTCTTCTAAAAAAAAGAAGCATAAGGCTAAACCTAAGAAAACTAAGAAACCTATGAAATCGACTCAAATACATCCACCTCAACCAGTGCTCCCATCACTGATCCTCGAGGAGTCATCTAGAGACACCCCTGGCTCGATTTCTGATAGAGACGACCCAACTTTAACACCAAATCAGGCTGCAGCTTCCATTACCAAACTTTTGCAGAGTACTGGCCTAACTCCGGCTGATGCTCATTCCAGCCCGGCCTTGGCCCATTCAAGCCCTAGATCATCAGGGTGGACAATACCTATTCAGGTATCTGGCTCAGAATCGTTTCACCAGTCTTCCTGCAAGCGCCAGGCAAAGAAATGATACCTTTCTCCAGTCCAATATGCCACTCCACACAGGGAAATTTACTAATATCATGAACCATCTCGATCCTGACAACTCGAGATGACTATGGGGATCAGTACCACCACTATGACCCCTACTATCATGAAGACAGGACTGAACATGTCTATTATGACGTACCAAGAAGGGTGAGATATGCCTGTCCACCCCAATACTCGCCTTCCATATCACCTTCACCACCACGACACCGACATCGTTCATCCATGATCTAGCCAACATTGACTCACCATACATTGATCCCTACAGATTCTCAACCACAACCCAAACGAGCTAAGCACTCTTCGAGG